ACTTGGGCGATCCTGTTTCCACCACTACATGCACCATTCATTTTTCTGTAGCCTCCAATCTCTTGCCATTCTGTGACACATGGGCAATGAGTTTTTTCTATTTAAAAAGCAGAGGCATTCCTTTAATACCCTTTGTTGACAAATTCATGCTACTCATAAGAAACTGGCATTAAGCGAAATAAACAAATAAGGCAGCAGCACAGTCAAATCTGCTAAGTTGTGATAAGAAATCAGATCAGCACAAGTGCCCACATGGACCCGAGAGAAAGAAAATAGAATCTTAAAAGACTTTATATTTTCTGCCCTTGAAACAACGTGCTGTAGCTCTTATAAACACAAGGATCGTTTATATTGGTCTCTGGGATCCTGACAGGTCTCTACTACACGTGCAGAGTTATTTTTACTTAACAACCGGGGGTTCTAGAAGATTTGTAGTATGGAGAGAGGATGCCACTCACTTCTGTTGAGTGTTGTGTGCCTGCAAACTTCAAGATAAACTACATCATCATTTTGGAGTGCAAGCCCACAGTAATTTAGGAGAAGATAATTGCAGTGATGACTGTGGCTCAGAGAAACTGTCTCTTTGAAAGGTAGGTGCTACAAAATGCATGTGATGCTTTTAAACAGGATGGTGATAGAATTCCTTTCCAGTCCTTGCGTAAGGCCAGATATCTACTATGGCTTCTAGGTAAGAAATTTGCTTCCACAGTTGTGCCTTTAAATTACACCGGGTTGCTTCTCTCACTGTTGTGCTGTCAAATTCTTAAAACAGGAAATTAGGGAATAAAATTCACATTTTCAAGGTGTACGCGACCTACTTGTCAAACTTTATCAGGTTCAGTGTTAATAAGCATTCAAAATAATAACAGATTCTGTAAGTCATGTTTACATTTCATGTCTTTGAGCTTGTTTATGGCTGTTGCAAAAGAATGATGTATAGAAATGCATATTTGAGTCATGCTTTAAAGCCAAACGCCTCTGCCAAATCACTTCCTTTAGTACCCTTTGTGGACAAATTTTGAGTATGTGAGTGTTCAAAAGTGGTTATTGGCAAATGTCATTGTGGATTAAAAAAAAAAAAGCCAATCATCTGTATACCACAGTGGGGATCTGCAAAAATGAAAGTCCTGTAGTGTCTGATATAGAGAAGATGGCGTCAGCGTCTCCCCAGGACACAGATGTCCTGTATGATCTTCAGCAAGTCATTTAGGCCCAGATGCTCTTTAAGTTTCTGACTTCCATTATGTCAAAGGGAATTAGCTACTTAAACACTAGGATCTGGGATTTAATCTCTCTGTGCCTCAGTTTCCCATTTCATTGATGGTAGATGGTGATTTTTTTTTTTTTTACTCACACTGTTTCCTCTGCTTTGATTGTAAAGCTTCGAGGATAAGAACCGCTCCTTAATAATATGTGTCTGTAGCGGATGTAGCACAATAGGGTCCAGAATTCAATTGGAGACTTTATTAACAACAGCAACGCACTGCACAGTAACAGTGGGGTGTGGAATATCACAGGTTTGATCCTTCAATCCGCCTCGTGCAAATTGTTGTTATAAACAAGAGCAGATCCACTGAAGGCAGCTGGGTCAGATCCTAGGCGCACCTCTGAATCAATGGAATTACTCCTTATTTGTGCGAGTGAAGCTGAGGTCACACAATAGCTCAGTGGGGCTCCTCTTCACCTAAGCAGACCACACTAATGCGAGTAAGGATTTGGAGAGGCTGACTTCAAAGTTGCCACTACGAAGGAGTGACTTCAGTCATGGAGGACTCAACCTGCTCCCAGGCAAGTTAAAGGCAAACTTCTGCCAAAGTCCATGACAAGAGATATGTCCTTTTATCCTATAACAACCTTTGGCATTGGAAAAGGTTCAGAGACAGACAACTAAAATGATGAGGGAGTTGGAACAGGTCCCCTATGAAGAGAGATTAAAAAGACTGGGACTTTTCTGCTTAGAAAAGAGGAGACTAAGGGGAGAGATGATCGAGGTCTATAAAATCATGACTTGTGTGGAAAAAGTGACTAAGGAAAAGTTATTTACTTGTTTCCATAATGTAAGAAGTAGGGGGCAGATTTAAAACTAACAAAAGGAATTATTTCTTCATGCAGCGCACAGTCAACCTGTGGAACTCCTTACCACAGGATGTCGTGAAGAGTAGGACTTTAACAGGATTCAAAAAAGAACTGGATAAAATTCAGGGATGTTTGGTCCATCACTACTTATTAGCCAGGATGGATAGGAATGGTGTCCCTTGCTTCTGTTTGTCAAAGGCTGGGATGGATGACAGGGGAGGGATCACTTGATGATTGTCTGTTCTGTTCATCCCTTCTGGTGCATCTGGCATTGGCCAATATCGGCAGAAAAGGTACTGAGCTGGATGGACCTTTGGTCTGACCCAGTGTGGCCTTTCTTATGTTAACAAAAGCATCTTTATCTCCCTTGAATGCACAGCATTAGAAATAAGAAGTATCTATCAGGAGAAGATCAGCATCATATAGTGAGAGAACTTTAAGCTATGGTAGATGCCTTCAGTGCATTGTACAAAGAATTGCCTGGAAAAATAATGCAAACCTTGACACCTATCAAAGCTGAATGAACTGATAGCTGAATTTGAGGGATAAAGGGGCAGTTTTCAGACGTGTTTAACTCCCACATGGGTAACTCACCAGATTTTAAAGAGGACACAGCAATGGGAGCCACACATGGGGACATAGTACTTTTGAAAATGAAGATCCTTTGGAATTGATCTCTGACCCAACATGGCACTGATAGACCATATCAGATCATAGCCCTCTCCACATTTTATTGGATATCCCAAATTTACTGTTGGCAAACCAGAGCATTCCAGATGGAATATGTTATGGACATGCCTTTACCAATTTTTTTTTCAAAGGAAAACAGATTTGGATAGTAATTTTGCAAATGCTAAGAATTCCTTTATTTACAGTTGTGGCTAGCACCAGACATGTGTTTGTATTCAGCAAATATAGAGGCTATTTTATACTTTTTTTTTAAATTTAAGGAAATCCCCTCTGTCTGAATTTAAAGTTGAGTTTTAACTGCAGGAGTTTGTCCTCCCGGACAAAAGGGACATGGCACAGTTTCCTGTCTGGGAGATTGTCAGTGACTGTCTAATCACTGTCAGGACTTGCATCCAGGGTCTGGAAGCAATAAATGACACCAGACTTTGAGATACATGAGACACGTCCTTGAGAAAATGAAGCAATAAGTAGGAATGACAGGAGTGATGGTCAAAGTCAAGTGAAAGTAGCAACTTCTTTTGAAAAAAAAAAAAATAGTACAGCTGATCCTAGAAGACTCTGCCCAAGTCATCAGCTCAGTTAAGAGGCAGGAGTCCAGAATTTACCTCCTAATTCCAACTTGATATAATGCCCAGAAATGTCCCTGCATCACAACGGCCTTCCCACGCTGTCAGGGAATGAACAGGTGCAGAGCAGCAGTGGTCCACTCAGATTTCTGGGAAAGCATGGAGCCCCATGTGACAATCAATAGGGAGATGCTCCTTCCCCCAAGCTCTGGCCCATTCTGGCCTTTTTAGTAGCAGGTTTTGTGGAGGAGCCATGTTGCTGTGCGCTCCTAGCCAGCCACCCCCTGCCACGCCCATTGTCAGAGGGGTTGTGTAGCATGTCCTGGAAGGGTGAGAACAAGTAGCTTACTTGCTGGAGCACTTCAGGCTTGTGGGAGAGCTAGGAGTGGGAATAGGGCCTGAAATCAACTCTCCACAATGGAACTTATGGGAATGATACCCCCACAGGAAGTTTCCTCGGCAACCCACACGCTGCTGTGGGTGGGTTTCAAGGCCCAATCTTAGGGAAGCCCTGGTCCAGCTCTAATTGCACTGCCCAATGTCTTAGATACTGCGCATAGTAGAAAGAAAGCCCAACACATAAGCCCTTGTATCAGAGGCCTGATGTGAGACCTGAAGCCTGGGCTAAAGTAGTGGTCAAAGCATTGCTGACCTAAAGCAAAGCCAGACTGTGAGCTAGAAGCAGGACCTGCTCAGAGAATCTGGCAAGAACAGGGCTGATCTTGTACACTCCTTGGAAATGCTAGGCACACAACATGCACCCTGAAACCAACCCATGTGCCACCGATAACGGGAACGTGCTGACTCACCTTAAAGATCGGGTCAGGATAAGAGCAGAGATGTTTTAAGCAAACCAACATTTACAAGGAAATAGGTGCTGAAGAGGCGATACCTAACTGGTGTGTCTTGCTGTATAAAGAGCTCTCTCAGAGGGAGTGTCATAGGCCAGCCAAGGAGATGGTGGAAAGTCCATGTGATAGCGAAGTGTAGATATTGATCTGGGGAGCTAGGACTGTGCTTCGTCAGGCAGTAAACTTGACCTTATGCCTTCGTATCTTAACGGATCGCTGGATGGTTCCATCAAGGTCCACAGTGCCGGTTCTGTGTGCAGAGCTGGGATAGCACACAGAGAGAATGTGCGTGCACACATCTACACAGAGCCACACATCTGTCTAATCTCTGGACCTTGTAGCCTTGGGAAACACCTGCATCAGAGGTCCAGGGGGATGACCCATGGGGCGATCTTTGCATTGGGTGGGATTCATCTGTACTGGAGCAAATTCGCCAATGGGTTGGGCATGGCGTGTGGCCCATTTGTTGCCACTTGGAACAACAGAGGAAAATTGATTCCTCCTTCCTCTTCCTCCACACACGCAGAATCAAAAGCAGAAAGAGTCAAGAAATGCAGTTCCTAGTGTTGCACTCAAAACTGCTTTTTAACATGGCTGAGAAACGACTCCAGTCCAGATCCGCTGACGTATAAAACATTGTCCCCTCCCGCCCTTTCCTTCCTGCCGTGTCCTTGGGGGTACAGTTGTGCTTTGGTCTGGCTTCTTAACCTCTCATCATTCTGCACACGTTCCATCTGTTCCTGCAGCTGTTAACTCCTGCCCCTTCCCCCCACTATTCTTGGACCCCGTTTCAGTTTGTTTTTCTATTTCCTTTCAGAGCTGTCATTTGGCGTCATCGAGCAGGTTTCCACTTGTGTGCTGATGTGATGCAAATGTATTCTAGGACAGATGCCAGCAAGCCGCAGGCTTTATCTCTGTTGCCATGATTTTCTTGGACATCAGCACCAGGATGTCAGGTAACCAGTTATCTCTTCATGACAGAGGGCTGAACTGCTCTTGTAAAACTTTTGGCACCACCTTCTACATCTCTCTCCTATTGTACTTTTATTTGTGGCCCATGCCATTGTAACCTCGTTTTGTTGAAATGTTCCCACTGAGCATGAAGTTGTTAAAGAGAAGGACGCAAGAAAAGTCAACCTCGCTTTTCCAGTTTGAGCTTCCACATCGGTTACAGGCAATGTATTTCACAGAGGCTCAGTAGATGCCACTCTGAATGATAAAACCAAACTATATTTAAAAGGATCATAGAATCACAGAAAACTAGAACTGGAATCGAGAGATTGTCCAGTCCAGTCCAGTCTCCTGCCCTCATGGCAGTTGTGTTAGAGGTTATTGTGTGTTCTAGTTGTGTTATTGTTTGGGTGGTGTTGAAGACCTTGAGTGGTTGGGCCCAGGGATCCACCATCTGTTCAGATTCCTTCATACAACCAATTCAACTGTTGCATGAGAAATAGCTACAGAGTCCGAATGGAGACTGATTGAGTTACCTTTGATATTGCAACAGTCTAGCACACTTGGTGTAATTGTATGTGGCATAGGTGTAATTCATGAAGCCAAAATGGCGAAGATATAAAAAAAATGGTTATCAGATCCTGAAAACCCAGTGGTAGTTTGTAGAAAAGATCTCTCATGTATGCTTTTGTATTGGTGATTTCTATCCCTTCCTGATGATTTTCCGGACATAAGAGGTTTCAGTGTGACACAAAAGGGTGGTGCAACTGGAATCTGATCAGATAATTTCTCCTCGCCGCCTGCTTCCCACACCCTGAAAAAATGTGTTCACCTGCAAACAAGTTTCTTCAAAACAAACTAGGATGCTGCCATTTATTTAGTTGGGAACACGAGCACCTAATATAGAATTAAAATATGTTTCACTTCCTAAAGAGCATGTTAGGACTTCCATTATCCACTCCCCCACCACCCCCACTGGCTTTATGCTGGTATGGATCTACTGACTTCAGTGGAGCTGTGCTCACCTAAAACTGGTATAATGGAGTAGAACATCGAATCCCAAATTCAAAGTGCTCTCGCATCAAAAACTCCCTCAGACTCATTAGGAATGTAGTGTTAGCAGGAGCTGACCCTAGGGGATGGGTCGCATGGGGACTCGGAGAGAATCTGATTCCTCTCTAGAGAGAGGTCACAAATCAGAAAATGTGCAAGTTCAGGATGAATGGAGACCTCTTTGCTCACGTATAACCCAGTGCAGGATTTGATAATGTGATTGTAGGTTAATTTGTGATCCATACACTTTCTCCACAATGCCTTCTCAACAGCTTCTTGTAGGCACAATTAAACGCCTCATGCACGACCCCAGCTAAGCTCCAGTCATCTCCTTTTGAGTTGGTTTCTACTTGTTGTCTTGGATTTCTCACCCGAATGGTCGTTCTCTGGATTGAGAGCGGCTTCAGTTCCCACGGCTCAGCTTCAGGGCCAGAGAGTGGTTTCTAGCTCCATCCCCTTTGTGCTGCTCCACTATGAAACAAGAGATTTCCTGGCTGGTTTAAAGCCAGCATAAATCTCCATGTGGCCCCAGCTGCCACCTCTCCTTGGTTCACCGAGGGCCTATCAGGGCTGGGGAGGTTCAACAAGAAATCAGCATTTAAGGGGTGAGCCTCATCCACGTCTCTAGTCCAAGCAGTGTCATTAAGAGCAGCCCTAAGTCTGCTTTACCTCACTCCTCTCTTGCTTGGTCCAGCATCGATTTGGTAGAACGGTATGTCCTATTTGCACAGGAGTAAACGGTCACCTAGGCCCCAAACTTTCCTCAGCCAGCGGATGACTCTTGAGATGGTAGGCTGACTAATCATCGCACAGCAAGCTTCAGGTGGCACCTCGCTTTGTATCTCTTCTACCCAGAGGTCATTAGAAAGGAAAATGCATGTCCCAAATTAGAGTATTCAGCCAAGAAATTTCTCAAAGGGAGCCCTCCTTTGAGTGACAAAAAGGCCCCCCAAACCCCAGTAATGTCTAGCATATCCAGGTGAAAAGTATGGTGTGAAAAAAACTTTAACTTCCAGATGCCTGGTTTCTTTTTTGACTTTCTCCCCCAGCTGCCCACCTTCAGGCAGTATTGCAACATTAATTGAGCCAATGTTTACACCGGTGATGATCCCCCTAATGTACAGGTGTGACGAACAATAGATCCACTGATGAACAATAGATCCACTGACGAACAATAGATCCACTGACAGATAATCCTGGGTTAAGGACTTGCTATATGAAAAAGGATCCGTTTCCATTAATATTCTCTTCACACATTATTTAGTGCCTTTTCTCTTTAAATTATGAATCTTCTCTAGCAGGAACGGTGCTTGACGGAAACATTCCCATATGCCAGTATCATTAATTCAACGGTTAACATTCGCTAATGGGAAAGGGTCCTAAAAGAGAGACGCAGTAGGAGTTGAGTGCTTAACTCCTCTGGGTTTCTTTGACGACTTCTGCCTAAAACTTTGGCAAACGCCTGTAGTGTAATGGTAAGACGTGTTAGTATGATGATGTATCCAGATATCGGTAGAGAGGCGCACGATTTCAACCAGAGCTTCAGAATTATTTCATGCCTCACCGAAACTCATTGCTTCTTGCATTAAACTATAGATATAATACTAGATTAAAACAAAGATACTGGAGGTAATTAACCTGTGCTCATGGAGTAGTAATGAAAAGCTTCATTCACTAGACTCAAACTGTGTTTGATATTCAGGAGAGGAGGATATTGGTGTTAGGAATTTATTAGCACAGCAGTGTGTATGGAACGCCGCCGAGTGATTACGCTTCAGTTTTTGCTAGGCACTGTACAAACAGGCAACACAAAGAACAGTCCCTTTCCTAGGGAGCTCATAATCCAGGAATGTAAGGTAAATAGGCAGGTGAAGGCCAAGGTGAGAAAAACAAGGTACAGGTTGGACCTCCCTGGTCTGACGCCCTCGGGACCTGACCGGTTCTGAAGCAGGAAGTCAGCCAGACCAACGGAGATCAATTCCAGCCCCTTTGCTGCTGGACTCTGGGCTTTCCTGAGGACGATCAGCAGACCTAGCCACGTTCCCCTCCTGACCACAGCTGGTCCCAGGGCTGCAGCCAGCCCTATGGCACTGTGGGACCATGGTAGGCACCAGACCAGGCCCACGGGCCATATTTTGCCCACCTCTGTAGGAAGTCAGCCAGACCAACGGAGATCAATTCCAGCCCCTTTGCTGCTGGACTCTGGGCTTTCCTGAGGACGATCAGCAGACCTAGCCACGTTCCCCTCCTGACCACAGCTGGTCCCAGGGCTGCAGCCAGCCCTATGGCACTGTGGGACCATGGTAGGCACCAGACCAGGCCCACGGGCCATATTTTGCCCACCTCTGTCATGG